TTTCCCTCAAATGAAGTTACATAAAATTTCCCATATGTGTATATGAACGACTTAATCAATGAGAAATCAATATATTAATTTATGAAAGATTTATAAGTACACCAAGTTGTAGGGCAAATAGTAGTTACCATTTATATACCATATATATTTGATACATGTTACATTTTTATTTGCTCGTTAATAGAGTCCCTTTTCTCAGTAGATTTTTATTAATGTGCAAATTCAGTAAGCAAATTATGCAATAATGCAATATGCAAAAATAAATTCGGTTTCAGTACGTACAATCATGTGTTGGAAATTGTTATCTAAACATGAACATTTCACACAAACTCATATTTGTGTTTTGATATTTTTTCAGCAGTCGCAGGATGTTTGATTTATCTCAAATATACAGGACATCCTGCTACAATACTTGAACAAATACCATAAATATATACAAATATTATATATATATATATATATATATATATATATATATATATATATAAATATATATATATATATATATATATATGTGTGTGTGTGTGTTTATGTATAAGTATATCAAAGTATCAAATTCCCACAAAGAAACCACAAAAGTGATTTTATATCATTTTCAATTCAACATAAAATATATCGTTTGTGTACGATACAATTTATTAGGGCTTCTTCAATTTTGTTTTTATTATAAGATAAATTGTTCAAAATTAAATATTTTACCACTTTATTCCACCCCATTACAACAACCTATCTACTCTTATTTAATTTTAGCATTTTTTAGGATTTTTTTTTAAATATTCAGTTTGTTTTTAGCACCATTAATTTATAATATTTTTACTAGTCCTTCGATAATTTCTTCAACAAAAAAATGAATCGTTTAGCGGATAAAATTATTACAATTAATAAAAATTAGTTACTTTTATATTTTATTATTTATGTATTTCATTTTTTATTTAATTTATTTATGGAGTTTCGTATTTTAAAAGATAAGAACTCGAGTTGTTTAGTTTTTCGAGTCTATCGGCCAAGCCATTTCTTTAGAATTAGCAATAAAAAGTGCAATTTTCGGCAAATCCTCATTTTTCGAAAAAAAATCTAAACCCATTTTGAAAATTCCAAAACTAACGTAAAAAAAATCTAACATGTTTATAAAAAATTGCCCAAATTGAATATCCTTCAATGATATCTCATATTTTAATGCTCTACAGAAACTAGATGCTAAATATTATATATATATAAATTATTGTATTGATTTTTTATTGACTAAGCCTATCCACTATTATCTTAAATTTCATGCAACTTGCCATAAGGATAAAATGTCGATTACACCCAGTTAAATATATTATTTCTCTCATGTAAACATTTAGGACAGTAAGCTTAATAATTTGAACAGAAGTTATTAAATGTGTTTAAAAGTAACACAGATTTTAAGTTTAGATAATTGTTTTATGAAATAATACATAAATAACATCAAATAAAAATGTTTCGATCATAAAATTCAACACAAATAATACTTTGTGTTTCAAATCCATTGACAAGAATAATATTCCTGAACTTCGACAAAATTTAGACACAAAATTATGCCTAGAAAATATGCAATACAATGCCTTGAATAAAATAATACAGTAATGCTGTGTAATTTTATTTATTTATTTATTCATAAGCAAACATCGCCTTGATTATGTTAAAAATTAACATTCATTATGCCAAAAATAAGTAACTGAAAATTTATAAATTCAAAAGTTACATAAATCTTAGAATAACTAAATTGTAGCTACTATTTTTTGTCAAAGATCAGAAATGAATAGATAGTAAGTGTATATATATATATATATATATATATATATATAACGATATATATATAGTGTGTGAATTATAATATTACTAACTTGTATTTCCAAAAGCAGTTCAGTCTTTCGTCTCCTGATATCACACAGGATTTTCTGTTGCTCAGCACTCAGTTCTAAAATATAAAAAATAACATGTATTTTATATATACACACACACACACATATATATATATATATATATATATAACAGCATAATTAACTAATAATCGGACATAACATCAATAAAATAACATGATTTTATCCAAATATATATGTTTCGGTTATAGGCCTAGCCTTCATTTACTAAGGTAAAAATTAATGCAGCAATAATAAAATTAATACATTTATAATAATAGAACTATAATTAGTAAATAAAATATTTAACACTCTTTATAAAATAATTAAACAAAGATAGAAATTCATGTTTTATATTGATGTTACATATGATTATTAAATTTTGCCAAAATTATGTTAACAAGAATTTAAATTTATACAATATATCTATATATATATATATATATATATATATATATATATATACGAGGTCTGTTCAAAAAGTACCCGGAATTACTAATAATTAAATTTCGCGGGTCTGGAGTGTCTGATTGTCAAATTTTTTTTTATTGTGTTGGTATACATGCCCCTAAAGTATGATGAAATTTTCAGCTATATTCACTGTTTACTTTGTCTGTGGTAGTCGCTAAGGTTCGACGTGTTTTTCTGAGCTCGGCGATTTTTACAATGGAAGAATTGAAAAGTCAAAGAATTTGTATTAAATTTTGCGTAAAAAATGAAATAAAGTGTTGCAAAGTGCAAAAATTCACCAGATATGGCTCCGTGTGACTTTTTCCTATTCCCAAAGTTGAAGGACCCATGAAAGGACGGCGGTTTTCCTCGATTGAAGAAAATCGCTGAGAGTGCTCAAGGACATATCAAAAAGTGAATATCAAGGGTGCTTCGAAAATTGGAAAAAACGCTGGCATAAGTGTATTATATCTGGGGGGGACTACTTTGAAGGGGACCACATTAATGTAGACGAATAAATAAATATTTTTTTGAAAAAACGAAAATTCCGGGTACTTTTTGAACAGACCTCGTATATATAATGCTATTTATTATTTCTATTACCAGGATCATAACTCATCAACTTATACAACACAATATCCTGTTTCGCTTTCAGCAAATAAAACTGTTTCAAAAACTTTAAAAACGCTATTATTTTAAACAAATTAACACACGACAAATGCCTAAATCTCACTGACATTAAAGCTTTGATAAATTTTGAATAAAACATGTTTGAATAATAATTGATTCACTAATTAACAATAAATTTATAGTAGGTACTATAAAAAATCCATTTCACGGTACAGATGTGCAAATTCTGAGTGTTACTATTACATTATGAAACAAATGTAGGATTGTAAAGTCTACAAACACACTCGGATGCATAAATTAACATATTACTTAAGGTGATAATTCGTGCTAATGAAGCACATGTAATTTTATGTTGCTAATGAATATGTCTAGATTGTTGTTACATATAAATATTCTGTACACTTAAATACACACGGTTACACAGAAATAAACATATTTATGGCAACTCGAATCTTATTGTACGTTTAGATATTATTTATCATCTCTGATAATGTGTATGTACTTTAATTACTCATTTTTCATAAAACAGCTATTTAATTAAAAAATAAATAAACAGCGTTTCTTTGTACATGTGTAAGTGTCTTTATATTCTTTTATTTTCAAGATTTGGATATATATCTATATAATTGGCGAAAAAGAATTATTTATAAACTGGCATTATGTAGATTTATAACATACTGTAATAATATTGTCTTTAATGTTTAAAATATAAATAATTTAATACTTTTGCTAAATTTCTTTGCTTAATAAACAGTTCACACTTTGTATTTCACTTTAAATGTGCAATTTTTGATTTTAAGGATTTTGAATTCCATCTACTTAAAACTGCATAAACAAGTTAATTTTAAACTGATAATATGCAAATCTTCGACATATTACTAAAATATTATCATTAATATTTATTGCAAAAAATTTTATACTTTCACCAAATTTCTTTTACCCGACTTACTTATCATGTTTCTTTTTTTATAAAAGCCATTCACTCCAATGATATAAATTCAAATATAATTATACGATATGAAATTTATCTCTATGAGTAAAAATAAGCAATAAATAACTTTCACATAAGTTATCAGCAACTGTACAAACATATCGATTGGCTTATCACATATTATTGACTTTCTGAATGAGTCATTTTGTTTATTAAACACTGCTTACAACATCCCGTTAATAATTAAAAGAAATCATTAAACTTTGTTTGATATTCAAAGCTTATTTTGGAATACAGTTATGTATTCTATTTATGCATAGCATAACCAGCATGCCTCATAATAAAATTTACTTCTAGAAATAAAATTACACAACATTTATGAGCACAAGCATCCAGCAACTTGATTTACCCTAATGACATCATTATGAAAACCATAATTTAGCCAAAATTACAAATTAAAACATCAAAAAGGCACTTTCACTTTTGACATATACATATTTTGTATCAATTATGTTTACCTCTGCCATAAGCATCGTGATGCGGATTTATTGCTGTCATTTTAATAAAGTATTCTCCGACATAGTTTTACTCCACAGCACATCACTAAAACTGATTTAGTTTATACAATTTTGAGATATTTACAATAATTTAGGCGTCATGACGAACGAACAGACAGATTGACTTGTGGAGCAGCCATATTTGATTTGAGCGAGGAGACGAATCATTGGGGGAACGAATTCTGCAAAGGTTCAGGGAATAGATAAATATTTGAATAATGGAAAAATTATTTTCAGGATTAAAAATAGATTATTGTAAATGTAAATAAAAATTCTCCATGCATAAATTTTATTTATGCACTTATATATAAAATATATATATTTTTTTATCTTAATACCAAAAGCAGTGGTGTACTTCTTAAGAGAACAGCTCATTAATGCAAACCTTTATGATTTTTTATAATTAGACCACTTTGTTGAGCCTATAATAATTTAGTAATAATAGGAAAATTATATATTCTAGAATATGCAAGATTTTAGCAGTATTTGTGAAGTTTGTAAAAACAAATTTATAAAAGCATCAATTTAATTTGTTTTTTAAGCATTGTGGTTAAAGCTCAGATGATTGCTCTAAAAACTTTGAAAATTTCTCTTGCTTGTTAGCTTTTAAAGCTCCTTTGAATCATATTGATGCAGCAGTCGCAATGGTGTCTTAAAAATGTGACTTTATTCTAAAGTTTATAAAGAAATTATCAATAATTATCAATTATTACATTTCTAGTGCTTGTTGAAGCCTCTTTTAAACTGTGTCCTTTAATATTTCTCCAAGGATTTTTCAATAAAATGTTTATTTTTTAATTTAAACAGTTCCTGAAAGACTCTTGATTCCAAAAATCCTTGGCAATATTTTTTAACAACAAACTTTACCTAAGGTTGTAATAAGATCTTTTTGATTTTTGTTGTTAGTCCATTTTGGTCCATTTATAAAAGACATTTTCTCTAGTTCTCAAAAATCCTTTTCTTGCTATATTTGTTCTTATTGCTATATGCTTTTCTTGCTATATTTGTTCGTAATGAAATAAATTTGCCGCTGCAAATAAGATGCTTTTAGTTAATTATTCAAGTATTAGCGTACTCGAATATTACTAAATCCATTTATCAGTCCATTAAATTTTATTACAGTGTTATAAATACAATTTTAATCCTTTATATACAAACTAAATATATTTTCAAATATAAATTTTACATAGCTGTTTAATCAATTAAATCCTTCTCGTTGTCTTTAATACTCATGCACTCCTCCGTCTTACTATTATCACACATCACCAACAACAACTTTTGGTTCATTTTCCAAATCAAACTGTCCGTCATCCGTGTTGCTCCTGTGGCTCAATTCTTTTAGAATCATAATGACTGATACAAAAATAATAATGACAAGAATAAATGTAAGAAACCGTTGCTTTTTGACTGGTGAAAAGCATGCGGCTCTGTTAATAAATCTTGTCAGCATTTCTTTGGGGCTTCTACGTTTATATTTATCATCATCAGAATCTAATACTCTTCCTATGGGTGTTGGTCGGTTCGAAGATCTCCTCATTTGGCTGTTAGCAGAGTAAAAATTACTATAATTGTGTTGCGTGTTGTTTAAATTATCTGAAGAGTGGACTATTGGTTTGGTGTTTTGACTGCGCAAGTTATTGCTTTGTAGTTTTGAATTTGAATACTCTGAACTATTTCTGTAAAAAAAACAGTTAAACATTTAACACAACAAAATTATTTGTACATGAATCATTTTTTATAATCTTACTGTATATTGGTGTCAAAATCAACTGAAACTTTACATCCATCTGGTGGATCTCTTGTTTCAGCCAACAAAGGAAGTCCCAATCCACTGCGTCCCCAATTTACCAACCCCAACTTTCCTCTCAAAATATCTGCTACAGGTGATATCAGATTAGGTTGTGGAAAAATACCAGTTCCACACTGTGGACATCGGTATCCTGCAGGAGCCACATTCGGGGGCAAACTTCCTGCCATGGATTGAAGACACGACCAGTGAAAAACATGATAGCAAGTCAACCGTACAAAATCGTCGTTTGTAATTTCGGAATTGCACAATTGGCATCCGGCGTTATAATCGCTGTCCTGTAGCCATTGGATGTAACTTTGGACAACGCATTTGGAATGATTTGTTACCATACAATTTTCGCAAACGTTTACATGGTGCTCGAAACAGAATTGATTGGTGACACGTCGCTTTGGACATTTGCACAACCCCATTGTTACGTACAAGAGAATGATTTAATTAAAACTAATTATTATATGTCTTGATTTTGTTTATTTTTTGTGTTTTTCTTTTAAATGCACAAATTTGCATTTGTCACAGACATTTTTGACAGCCACAAAAACAGGGCGCCATTTGCAATTTGTTGACAAGCCACGTTGACAGCAACGTGATAAATTTTGAATTATTAATAATAGATTATTGTAATTTTTAATCACTTGCACTAAATTATCATTATTCTGCAATTACAATTATAACTTTTATGGTATGTATCTTACGCGTATAAGTGACTTTGTTACTGTATAACTAACTTCAATTGAATTACAATTTTAAACTTATCGGTCAAGAAGATTTATTTCCACCAATCTGGCAACACTTGTGCAAGTTCGCATCTTGCATAACCTTGCCACTAAATTCTTTTCGTACTTTCATCTGACTTGTCAAGTCGATTTTTTCAGAAACTAATTTTGACAGGCGACTGCCTGCAATTTTATTAATATAGAAGTAAAAACGTATAAATTACAAGTAAAAAACAATAACAAAAATTTAAAAAAAATGAAAATTTGGACGTCAGAACATATTTTTAAGTGAGTTGTTGCCAATGTTTAATTCATTGTAAATAAGAAAGTGTTGATATAAATAAACTCATTATTGAAATAAAAATATTCAGTTGAAAAACAATTAGTTCATAAGCCTAATCTTTTATTATTACTTGATGCAACATACCTGTCAAATTTCTCAATACCTTTCTTTTCTTTCAGTCACCCTTGGGAAACAGTAGCCCAAGCGGCATGGAGAAAGTACCCGAATCCCATGAATCCAGCTGTTGTTGGGACTGATGTTGTTGAACGTAATGTTGTAAATGGAGTCTTGCATACGCACAGGATAGTCAGTTCAAAATGGTACTTTCCTAAATGGGCACAAGCTGTGAGTCGAAATAAAAGAAATATTTATATATACACACATTCTTTAGAAGTAATTAATGATACACGTATATAATGATAGATAATGAGTGTGGTGTTTATAACTAATTAGTGGTTTATCTATTCATTTTATAATTGTGCATATGCAACTTGTTTTGTAGGTGAAACTATTATTTTTTATTAGATAAAATATGTTAAGTCAAATCAAATTGGTTTAAAGTCGAATTCTAGTTGGATTTATATAAGAAATATATGAGTCAACTAGGTGTTAATGAAATGAAAATGAAGTTTGAGATATATTTCAATAATTTAATTAATCTATAAGAGTTGAGATTTAGCTACTTTTAATCGAATCAAATTTTCAATGTTTATTTTCAAGTGTTCTTTTAAATTATAAATGATAAATAATTTTAAATAGTGATCTATGAAAAGAAACAATTGCAGATTATTTAAATTTATGATTGGGAGAAGTTGTTATTAGTTTTTGGCAAACGCAGGCATAACCATTTTGAAGATACGGAGCTAAATATACAAAAAATGGCAGTTTTTGAGAGAACTAAGCGTCCGATTTAATTGATTCAAAGAACTTTCTGCTTGTCTTAACATAATAATTCATTTTGGAACAAAAAAAATTTTGTTTCAACTTTTTTTTTTTTTAATTTTTTGTATATCAAAAATAATTCAGATTTTATTTTTAATTCTGACTATAGTTCTAATATAATTTAAACAAATAATTTCAACTTTGCAATTCAGTTTATATAATTCTTATAAATATTAGACAATGTTAAAATATTTATAATGATCTATTTGAAAACATTCAGTATTCCTCTAACATTTTGTTACGGTACGGGAAGTTCCAGCAATTTGCCTTACGGCACGATGCCACACACCCCGTTTACATACAGTTGTAAATTTTATTTTGCATGGAACGAATTAAATGTTTAATAATTAATTGATACGAATAATACAAATTTATATATATAATTTACATATGTAATTATTTTTTCACATAGTCATAAATATGTTGATTAAACAAAATACTTCTTAATCAGGCATTCATTTAAATAATATAAATAGAAAAAATTTAAAATAAGTTTCTTATAATAATTTTAAGTATTAAAAATGTTTTGCGTTCCAATTTGACTCATTCTCAACAGTCAAATCATTATTTTTATTTTTTTTTTTCAAATTATATATTATTTATTCTTTTTCACAAACAAGGTTATTGTGAAGTATTATTTTCATTGATTATGTTTTTATTTGTGTTTGTTTTAATAATTTGTGTGTTTTGTCCACTATGTAAAAGTTAAATTGGGACTCGAAGCATTTGGATCTATTAAAATCATTTTAAGAAACATATTTTAATTTTCTTTGTATTTTGAATGGATGCTTGATTAAGCATTTAAGTATTTTGTTTAATCAACAAACACGCATATGTATAGACAAAATGCTACACTAACTAACCAGTAAATTTTTCATTAGTGAAAGAATAATTGAAGTAAATTTATTATTTGCCTCAACCTGCATTGATTATCAATTAAGAACAATGCAACCAAATTAATTCTGAGGTTTTCTAGAAAATTACTGAAGGATTTATGGACAAATATATTAGAAATACATAAAAATTTAAACTCTCACTTGATGGACAAATTATTCAAATAATATATCAACTTTCTTCTTGATCCTTGAAGTAAATTTAATATTTGTCTCAACCTGCATTAATTATCAATCAAGAACAATGGTACCAAATCAATTTTGAGGTTTTTAGAAAATTGCCAAAGGATTTATGTACATGGAAAGGATATTAGAAATATGTAAAAATTAAAGCTTTCCTTTGATGTTATTCAAATTGTATCAACTTTCTCCTCGATCCTATCCCAACAGGTATTATGATCGTACTACCAAATAATGATTCATAAATTTTCCTGTGTATATTTCGAGCCAATCTAATTTCGTGTTATTCCATTATTTGCCTGTTTGAAATTTTGAATCGAGTCCAAGAATTTTTTTCCGTCATTTGTGTTGTTTCGTCATCATAGTATAAGATGAGATAACGGCCGTCCCGTATGTTCAGAGTTCATTAGAACCGGCCTTGGCTTTCACGTTCGCCACGAAATTAAAATTAAATCAATTTGAACTTGACAAAACGGCATGCATCAACACACGATGAATAAATTGTTTATGTAAACAATAAATAGATTTATTTGTTTATATTTCCTTAACGAAACCTAACACGCTTAGATACCACGTATGATATGATTTCGGTGTAACGAAGGAAATTAGTTAATTAATGAAAATTCATTGTCTAATTTTAAACGAATTCCCTAAAATATTATAGGCTTATAAAAAGGGTGATCGTTTGCTGAAAATAATTTATTTCTGGCCATTTAAAATTATGAGATATTAACTGTACCCGTTCACCCTTCGCCGTGTTTTACTTTCAATTCAAAATTTGAACTAGTGGTGTATGGCATCGTGCCTTAAGGCAAATTGCTGGTACTTCCCGTACCGTAATGAAATATTAGAGAAATTTTAAACGTTTTCAAATATATTATTACAAATACTGTAACTTTCATTATTTTTGCTATCTTATTGTTATATCTGGGCAAATCAAATTTAAATCACAAATCAATTTATCTTCAGAACATTAATAGTCATTAATAGTCATTTCATTTCGAATTCAATTTCAAAAAAGAAATAGTTGCCTAATTTGCACAAAATTGAAAAAGTGCTCCCGTATAGTCACAGTCTAAACAAATTGCATGCATTTGCAAATAATTCTGTGCGACATTTTTACTTATACTGTGCTTAGCTTAGCGGCATTTTCACATTTTTCAATAGTTTTCTTTTCACAAAATTGGAAAAGTGCTCGAGTACATAAACAGTCTAAACGCAATCGGGTAAACATTTGTACCAGAGTGGCGCTTAGACTGTGCTTAGTCTGGGTAATTTTTTAAATTTTTAGAATTTTTAATCCAAAATTACAAAAATATTCTATGGAAAATAAAAAAAATGTTATAAGTTTTTATCCCCAAAAGCATTTGTTTTGTCAATACAAGCAGAAAGCAGTTTTTTAGATCATTCAAATCGGACGCTTAGTTCACTCAAAAACTGCCATTTTTTGCACATTTAGCTCTGTATCTTTGAAATGGCGGGACCTGTCTTTGCCAAAAACTAATCACCTCTTCTCCCTATCATTACAAATTGAATGTTTTTTAGATCATTCGAATCCGATACTCCGTTCTCTCAAAAACTCGATTTCTATTTTCTGCACTCTTTGCTCCGTATCTTCGAAACGGCTGGACCTGTCTTTGCCAAAAACTAATCAGCACATCTCCCTATCATTAGGAATCGAATGTTTTTTAAACCATTCAAATCGGTTGATTCGTGCGCCCGAAAACGTGGACGAAAAAATGCGGACATACAAAACACACATAGCCACACACATCCATTTTTTCTGAGGTATGCCAGTAAAATGTTCAGAAACCTTCAAAACGTCGAGAAATGCAAAAATTTTCATTTTTGATTTTCGGCCCATTACTATATATAACTACCCTACGGGAAGTTAAAAAAGTGCATATTTTTTTCACCTAATTCACCAGTTTTCTTGTCTTCAAGTCTACCTGTCTACACGACTATCTGTCCACCAATTTACTTTTTCGCTGTTATAGCCGTCAAACTGTTTTAGGGGGTGTCCATTAATCACTTGATCGATTTTTTAAGGATTTTTGGAAAAGAATTCATCCCCTTTCACCTGGTGGTGGAATTTTCTGATTAAATTCAATAATTTACTAAAGATTGTTCATATTGAAAACTTACTACCAAATTTAGTCAAAGGCAAAAGAATATACGGTAATTTTTGGTCACCTAAAACTGGTCGCGATTATTTATATTTGTCGAGTTGCCTTAAAGAGCAAGAAGAAATGAAAGCCACTTAGGACAAATTGTAAAATACGTCCTGGTTTCATTTTTTTTGCATATTAAATTTCGTTATTAACTTCCCGTAGGGTAAGTTATTGTAATGGGCCGAAAATCGGAATTGAAAATTTTTACATTTCTCGACGTTTTGAAGGTTTCTGAACGTTTTGGCATACCTCGGAAAAAATGGATGTGTTTGTGTGTGTATGTATGTATGGATACAAATTTCCAGTCACGTTTTGGGGCGCACGGATCAACCGATTTGAATGGTTCAAAAAACATTCGATTCCTATTGATAGGGAAAAGAGCTGATTAGTTTTTGGCAAAGGCAGGTCCAGTCGTTTCGGAGATACGGAACAAAGAGTGCAGAAAATAGAAATCGAATTTTTGAGAGAACGGAGTATCCGATTTGAATGATCTAAAAAACATTCAATTAGTAATGATTGGGAGAAGTGTTTATTAGTTTTTGGCAAAGGCAGACCCAGCCATTTTGAAGATACGGAGCTAAATATGTAAAAAATGGCAGTTTTTGAGAGAACTAAGCGTCCGATTTAAATGATTCAAAGAACTTTCTGCTTGTCTTAACAAAATAATTGATTTTGGAAAAAAAAAAATTGTTCAATTTTTTTTTTTTTTAGTTTTTTGTATATCGAAAATAATTCAGATTTTATTTTTAATTCTGACTAAAGTTCTAACATACTTCAAACAAATAATTTCAACTTTGCAATTCAGTTTATATAATTCTTATAAATATTAGACAATGCTACAATATTTATAATAATCTATTTGAAAACATTCAATATTCCTCGAACATTTCGTTACGGTACGGGAAGTTCCAGCAATTTGCCTTAAGGCACGATGCCTTAATTGCCCTAAGACAGAATTCCACTTACAGCTAATTTTCTTTTGCAGTTGATCGGCACTGCAAATGTGTGCTATGCAAGTGAAAAATCAGAAGTCGATCCAAAATCCAGGCGCATGGTACTAAAAACAATAAATTTAACCTTCTGTCGTTATATTTCTTTAGACGAAAGGTTAACATACGCGCCACATCCAACAGACCCCGACAGGTACCATTTATCTATTACTATTACTATTACCTTAACAAAATGTGTATTCTAAATATGTCCTTTCCCCCCAGGACACTTCTGAAGCAAGAGGCGGTTGTGACGGTGCAAGGAGTCCCCCTCAGTCACTACATGGAGGATCTTTTAGCCAACAAAATCTCCTTAAACGCCGGCAAAGGCAGACAGGCAATGGAATGGGTCATAAACAAAATCAATTTGGAAGTTAAGGAAATCGCCAACTCGGCTGTGAAATCAACAGATGAGATCTTGTCTCAGACCAAAAAATCAATAGATGACATTTCGACATCAGCAAGGAAGTCAATGGATGATCTATCGACTGCTGCTAAAAATACCCTGGATGATATACAGAATTTGGCCAAGAGCAGCGGGACGAAGCAGAATATACCGAAATTTTAGCAAGATTTTAAACTTGAATTTTAGATGAATTGTTTTATATTTACAATATAAGAATTTGAAAGACAAATTATGTATGTATATTTTATACCGATCACATCAGAAATATATAGTATTTTATATACATAAAATGAGATACATTACACGCGAGTGTATTTAATTTCAAATCTTATATGCATATATTTATTTTGAAAATGTATGTATATAACAAATTCATCTTAATTTATTTTATTTAAATAATTATGTACGATGTGTTAACCAACCAAATCTTTGTCATAGCAAATAAGTACTGAAAATTTAGTCTTAGTAAATGTGTAAATATCGAGCACCATATATGTGGTTGACACAGAAATTAGATTGTCATACATTTTCTTCCCGCAAATGTCATTTAATTAAATCTTTGTACATATAAGACAAGTGTGATTTTAATTTTAACACATTCCCAAAAACCTTGAATATAATTGAATATGTATTAAAATTGTATAATATAATTCAATTGCATTTCATTGTTGTTTTTATTTGTGAATCATTATTAACACGGTCACAAAATCCTAATTATACTCCTTTAAGTAAAAAAGAGTATTATAAATACAATTTTATTTCAATAAATATAAAAATCAACAGTTACTGGATTAAGCTAAATAGTTTGTTTTAAAAATATCTCCGTAGCTTTGGAGTTATAGTCTTTCTTTTAGTCGTACTTTGCATTTTCTGGTAGATCACAGTTTCTTCCGTTGGTGGTGCAGATGAAGCCACTGACCGTTGTTCTATATACACAGAATTAAATTTAACATCCATACTCCTATTCATCTCATCAGCATCGCCTTTAGTATCAATTGTAAAAGCCTGCTTAAGTTTTTTCTTGCGTTTTCTTATTGTTAGATCTGTGGCCAAAGCTTTCTTCGCAACTAATTTTTTGCCATTTATGCGAACTCCTTGCAAATTTTTCATAACTAATTTATATGTATTTTCGTCCTCGAATATAATAAAGCAAAATTTTGCTGTTTTACGTCTTGACAGGAATACATTTTTAATTTCTGGATGTAGAAGTTTAATTTCGTTTTCGTCTTTTATGGGATGGGGCATTCGAATATACAATTTAAAAGACATGTTATAATTGACTAATCAATAAAAATCAAAACTAATTAAAGGACTTGTTGGAGGTGAATATATAAATTATCAAATTGTCACATAACTTATATTTATATTCAGATATGAACGATTTTCAATTATTATCTTGTAGTTGCATTGACTACAGCTATTATGATATTTTTTTATATTTTATGGACAATTTTTTTTATATTTAATTTAATTTAAAATACCTTAAAAATATAATTTAAAAATATATTTTTGTTTAATTAAACTTTTTAAATTGCCATTTGATTGAACTGATTATGAACTGTCAAATGGCAACATAACCTCAATCCACATTTAAGAACAATTCACAGACTTAACTAATAAATGTAATTATTGTATTAATTAATGCAATCAAAGACCAGACATCGACAAGCAAACATTAAACTTAAACATATATCATTGAATCATTCTTTTTTGTAAATAAACCTTTAATCAAACCAGTGTAATATATCATTTCTGTTCTACAAATTAAGTTGTTTTTCTTTATTCACCCTTTCCTTTAGGCACATCAATTGATACGCGTTTACATTTAACTGTCAAACGTCAAAACAAAACATGTGCGTTTTGTGTAATGTGCTTTTGTAGAAAAATTGTGCAATTTGAAAAGGCCTTTAAAATGTTGGAGCCTGTTTTAGATTTTTTAAATACAAAAAGAGTAGTTTTAGCAAGTGGATCACCCAGGAGACAAGAATTAGTTAAACAATTGGTAGGTACAATGCATTTGTCTAGTGTTATCACACTAAAAATGCTCACTTTAAGCAAAATATAATAATTTAGATAATATTTTCATCATGAAGGGTTTGAAGGTAGAATTATGCCCCTCAACATTCGAAGAGAATCTGATTCCTACAAATTTCAAAGGCATAGAAGATTTTGTGCAAGCAACTGCCCACGGTAAAGCTCAAGAAGTTTTCCAAAGGCTAAGTGAACAAAATACACCACCCGATGTTGTTATAGGTAAAAACCATACCTTTACAAATCTCTTACCCCTATCATTCAATTTCCTTAATAATTTGTTATCAGGGGCTGATACAATGGTCACTTTAGACGGTATGCTTTTTGGTAAACCCAATTCTGAAGAGGACTCTTATAACACACTATCAAGGTTGTAATTATAATTTTTATAGAATTAGTCTTCAATTAGTGACTTAATTATTTGTGCAGGTTGTCGGGAAGAGTTTGTACCGTGTACACAGGAGTTGTAATCAAAACACAGCGCAAAACGGTCAAGTTTTGTGACAATACCAAAGTCCATTTTGGAAAACTCACTCCGGCAGTGATAAGAGCATATATTGCATCAGGAGAACCCATGTAAATAACAGTCTTGTAATTCAAATACTAAAGAATTCAATTTTGAGATTTTTTTATGGTTTTCTATTTTAGGGACAAAGCTGGAAGCTTTGGGGTCCAAGGACGAGGTGCTAGTCTTATTGAAAAAATGGATGGTGATTATTTTACAGTTGTGGGGTTACCTCTACATAAATTATGTGTCGAGTTAAATTCTTTATGTGAAAATAATTTAATATAATTATAAATGTGATATTTTTGTAAAATATATTTGGTTTATTTTATAAAAAATTGATAATTTAATATTTTATATTATACAGAGGATATAAAAGAATTCATTGTTAATAAAAGTTATATTCACAGATTTTTAAAATGTTGTTGTTTTGAGTACTGTACTTTGATTATAATATGAATTAGTTTGTTTTAAATGTTATATACAAAATTAAGCAAATTTGTATAATAATTATAACAATTAAAATTTAGTAATACAATTCAGTTGTGGTAGAACGAATAAACAGTATAGAAAGATTTCCAATAATTTGTATTTTATAATATAAATAATAACAAAATTAAATTGATAGCAAATTATATCCTATGTCTGCAGAGGTCCTGACTCTAAGAATTAAACTTTTCTTTCTCTTGTAAATAAATTTTAATTAATTTAAAAGAAAGTAATTGGGAGAAATGTCAAGTAAACAAATTGTTGAATGCACATTGATTTTCGACACTACTAGTTTTAGTTGTGTTGCATGACAGTACATACACACAAATATATTCTAAAATGTTTATATTAATAAATTAATTTAATATTAAATATAAAATATAGTGATAATGAATAATATTTAAATAAGTGAAGTTTTGTAATATGTTTGAGACAAAAATTGAAACAATACAAAAAAAGATTTCGATTCCTAATAATCTGATCTGATTGAATTATAAATTGTTATAGTATATTGCATTATATTAATGTATTTATTCAATATACAGAAATAACATAAAAGGATCTTATGCAGGAAGATTCTCCAGTTGTGGATTTTCTGTTGATTGTGAAAATGATGAAAATCCTCAACAAGATAATTAACATTTGAAGTGACACCAAAAAGCAATCAGAACATTTACAAATAGGAGGTTTACAATGAATACAACAAACATTTATATTTTCAAGCTAATTATTGGTAAATTTAATTATTTTTAGTTATGTAATTTGAATTTCGCGCTTTCGGCTTTCACTTCACTTCGCTTCGTTCATTTCTTCATGACAGTTCGCCTTTTCTGGCGGCCATCTTTATACCGTGTTTTTTGTGAAAAAGGCGTGCTCGCTAATTAATTAGTGTTTTTTAATTAAACTCCTAATTAATTTCCATTAATTCATACATTAAATGGTTCTACTAATTATGCACATCAATTTGATATAAAATTCGTGTATGATGATATGTTTTTAGATCAGATATGTGACAATGTTCTTCAGCCTTAACTTATCTCTCTCAGCTTTTAATTCCAATCAATTTTATAACCAAATACTTTATTTACAGCTTCCAATGTATCCTTTATATAATGATATATTCATATATGCAAATGTCAAATATGTATAGATGTATGTAAGGCTGCAAGTACTTTTGTAATATATCTGTATATTGTCAAATTCTAAGTCGCCAATTCTCACAAAAGTCTCTGATGTGTTCGTCGCGAAGTGTCGTGTGTTGAGTCACGAAGACTCCACTTGGACATTTGCATATTGTAAATTATATGTATAAAGTCAGTGTCCAAAGTAATGTAATGTAGTGATTTACAAGTGCTCGGCTTTGGAACTTCTAGCAGATGCTTTGGAGGATTCATTATGAGGAGGAGATTTGGATTTAATTCTATGCATCATTGTGGAAACGTCAATGTGAGTCGAAGCAATCTTTTTACACAACGTGTCAATGAATAGTTCTCTGGAATAAGATACAGGATTTTATCGTACAACAAATATTGCTCTAATAATGTTCTCAAGCACATAACAAATAGTTTCTTGTATTTGTATTGTATAAATCAAAACAGCCTGTATGTATTTCAGTGAATATTTGCTGACTCGTGCATCATTAGTATTTTATGCATATGCATCTGCTAAATTTTTATTTCTTTTATTTAAAGTAATTACATAGTAATATTACTACAGAATCTTACATCTATAGTTTGAACCCATTTTGCTTTATTCTATTATAATATGATTTACAATTTAGTTAATAAAGATTTATGATTGACATGATACTAAACATTGTTTTTGCAATTTCAGTGAAGATGGAATAATACAATTTATTCTTTATTTATCTCAAGTACTACTTTAGCAGACGTGTGTGCAAAAATATCGAATATCATTTGCAATTTTGTGATATCAATCTGATATATTAGATACACTTTGTTAAATTATTATTATTTGCAAGTGATGTTCTACAAGCATAAAAATGATTTTGTACAATTCACTACGGGGAAAACATCTTGATTCACTTTTCAGCAAGTGTGTTTTATAAATTATTTAAATCAATATTATGCAATAGTTTTTACTTCTCTTATGTATTAATTGAAACTTATTAGTTTTTTATTATAATTTCATAAATAGTAAATCAAAATATAGTATTATTCTTTAAATAAGACTATGAGGAAAGGTTTCTCCAATTTCTTGTTGCAAAATTAATATGATTAGATTTGGTTTCAT